TTTTTTTTTTTTTTTTTCCTAGAAACGTAAACAAGCGACACTTAGCCTGGTGGCGGGGCTAGCAAAGCATGGCAGCCGCCAGGCTTATAATACACTGAGGGAAACCCTGGATTCAAATGTATTTAATTTCGTCTGCAGGCTGGATAATTGCAAGTTAATATTTTTGGTTGCAGTGAGGTAGGATCAGTGTTCCCCCGACCTCCGTGTGATCTCATGGGATATCTTAGACCAGTGGTGTCCAAAATCAGTCCTGGAGGGCCGGCATCCTGCAGGTGTTAGTTCTTTTGCTGGTTCAACACGCCTGGATCAAATGGTGGCTCATTAGAATCCTCAGGAGACATGCTGAGGAGGAAGTTACTACCACCAGACAGAGAACTAGAACAAGCAGGATGCCTTTGACATCAGTCTGCGTTTCAATGGTGATGGGATGGCACTGGCACTCTTAAGCATGTCTGGATGGAACTCATTTATTAGCAAACAAGCTACAAATGCCTTGAAATGTAAAAGTTTCACCTTCTTCAAGAAGTGAAAAAACACTTTGTATCATGTCAAGAAAAAGACCTGGCTCTAATGATAAATACATCCTTGACCTCGGGTATCTGAGGTATGACATGATTCCATATTTATTACTAGAAATATCTTCAATTCCTGTTCTGTCAAGGCCAGATTTTGTTTCTTTTTTGGAATGCATACAGGTTTGTATTCTGTCAAATGCTGCATCTTAAGTCATTTCATGTCCCCCAACATCTTGATTTACCTCAGTGATCACCAGTGGTGGAGAAAGTACTCAAAAAATGTACTTAACAGTACAAATACACAGACAAAAATGTACTCAAGTAAAAGTACCACATTAACATTTTACTTAAGTAAAAGTAAAAAAGTACTGGCTTTTAAAAATACTTAAGTATTAAAAGTAAAAGCACTTGCTGAATAATACCTGATCGCTAATATCATTAAGTGTTCCGATCGCATTTAATTTTAATACATCAGTAATGTGCCATTTTAATGAACAATGCCACAGATCAAGCATGTTTTCATTGTGTTTACTCTGTAACATAGTTTAGACTTAGATATTTGATTCTATGCATCATAATTTCAGTGATGGAAACATCTTGTCTCCTGTCCTAACATAGCATGAACTTCATTAGTAACATTTATTTAGAAAGGAATCCAACAGAAAGGGGATGGAAAGAAGGTGGGTGAGGGAGAACATGCAACCAAGGAGCCACGTAGCAGAGTTGTAGTCAAGACCACTGAACCCGAGACCAAGACCAGCGCCCTGCGCTACATGACACAATAAAATTAAGTTTACCTATCAAAATTGGTTCTCAGATTGATCTGAAAGATCCACATTCCCATAAAAACACCTAGATGTTAAATACTTAGAGCTGAAATAAATTTAACCAGTATCAATTCAAACTCATTTCATTCTGTTTTGCTTTCATCGCTGTGCTACAATCCACAGAGGTCTCCTGCCATCCCTATAAAAATAACGCCCTGGGCGGTTGCCCATATTGCCCATGTCAGAAACCACAACTGTCTGCACCATTAAACCATGAAACATAGCAATTAACTGTAAACAACACTATGAACACTGTCCAACGGCGCAACAAGAAGAAGGAGGGAGGATGAGAACAGTCACGGTGCTCCTTCTGCTTGTTGCGCTGACAGTGTTCATAGTGTTGTTTACAGTTAATTGCTATATTTCATGGTTTAATGGTGCAGACAGTTGTGGTTTCTGACATGGG